GGGTGTTCACTGACGCGCGCTGGAGAGAAATGGTAGATATTTCACTGCATTGCTTCGAGTAGTTAGACCTCAATCCGTCATAAGGAACGCTAATGAATTTTGAGTACAACCAGGTTAAATACAGACCAGTGGTTTGGGGTGGGCTTACTTTTCAAGGCGCTGTGAAGATACCGCCATCATGGGTTGGCGACTGACGAGGTCCGAACGCATCGCACTCTAATAATACTGCATCTGCTTGTTTACATCTGCTAATTCTCCGAAAGTAACTTGTTCGCATCTAACCCTACAGTCACTTTTTATTCCACTCTAGCATCTGGAGGATCGCTCGAGGGAGTTCGGAAGTGTAAAAAGCATTTCTTTTTAGATTATAAATTTGATTGATTTCTAGGCCTTAGGATATCTTATGAATGTGCACAACTAATTCATGTGTGTTACGTCCTCCGTAGGACTTATAAGAACATATTTCATGTACCTCAATTGTGTGCCGAACTGCCTTAGGCAAATATTCACTGTCAGGTCATGCATCTTGTTCTAGACTAAATTCCTTTAGGTAAACTATCCCCAATTTTTGCTAAAAGTTCAAGCTTGTCACTTCTAATGATGCAAGATTGATTGTTGATCCCACCACCAATGCAACTAGAAAGTGCTTATCATGGGTTTTCTCACGCAAGCAATACTAACGTTTGAGCAACTCGAAGGAGCACTGCTTGGATTGAACGGACTTCACATGTGATCGCAGTCGAATTTCAGATGCTCTAGACATCAAATAAATCTGATTTTGGCAGAAGCTTGTTTATGAATACTTCCAAAATGGACAGTCTACTAGAATGCTGTTATTGATTACTGTTATTATTCGACCTAAATCAGACTTGTTCGAAGCTTGCTGACGAGTATCTCAAAAATCGACAGTTTACTGAAATGCTGTCACGGATCAATGTATACGGTAAAGAGCACTCCGGAAACCAAGTTTATTCAAAAGGTAATTGCTCAATTTTCTTCTTTACAACAATCAGGAGTGACAAGTTTTACTATAGAGTGGCACAGACTTAAAGTCCCTTTAAACTTTGATTGCTACCCAAAAAGACTTCTGAAAGCCTCTGATTTACCCTACTGCAAAAACTTTGGCAGCAAGCATTCCCCAGTATAGTGGCGACTAAAAGCCGTTCACTGATGTTGACAAAGCAAATTTTTCTTCGCTACCTGCTTGTTAAATCATTTCTAATGTTACCCAGTAGTCCTCTGAAGTGTCAACTGAAAGGTTGGTGGAACAGTTTGCTTTATTGTTATTTCATTAAAAATCGAATCCATTCAATTTATTGCTCCTCATAATGGTAACCTACATTTATGAATATAAAGGGAATATGAGACATAGTGAAAAGAAAAGTTTTTAGCCTGCCGACCAAAAATCACAGAAATCTAAAAATCCAAATACTGTTGCTTTCTAAAATTGGAATGGTTTCATTTATTTTGGCATTCTTCAACTAGACTAGAGTCTGCTCAGGTTTCCCAAGAGGATTACTTAACCAAGTAATGTTATTTGGTTTCGTCTTTGTCGTAATTTTTTGCAAACGAAATTGGTTTTCGTGAGTATGATTACAACGTTTTTCCGTGTGGTATGGAACTGCTCAAACGGGACTTGAATATCGATCAACAGAGCGGAGTAAATTAAATTTGGGTGCATACTCCGCAATAAGTGGCATTTAAGTGGGGCTGGTTTTCATCGTCAAATTGAATGAGCTGTTTTTTTCTTCCGGTCACATTCTCATGCTTCTATTGCGTGAATAGTGAATAAATGTTTGTTGACGTGAAGGATCGTCGGTGTTGGCTCGTTACGAAAACCATTTTGTGGACTAAGATTTACGCACCATAGCTTTTACTTATGGAGGCGGTTCGCCGAGTACAAATTATCCAAAAATCAAGCTGTTTTCACAACTAATGGCATAAGGACGGGTTTTTCAACACTAATTCATAAAAAGTGTTGCTCAATGCTGTAACATTACATTAACATGGCATAGATTGACACTGTAAAATAGCTCAATATGCACGCCATTCAACAGGTCCTCGAACTGAAACGAACTAATCCTGTCAGATTTGACAAATTGTTCTCTATCAGGACGGAAGACCTAGCGGAGGCCAGTGCAGTCTTGTTTGGTGGGACTCACGAAAATCATTGCACCAGAGCAGACTACGAAAGTAATGAGAATTCTCTAAATCCGACAATCACGGACACCAAATGATCCGGAAGATTGCGATTCCTAGATCGCACAAGTCTGTTTAACATCTTCTAGTCTCGATAATAACGGTGAAAGTGATACGAAGACTTTTTTAATTTATATTAAAGTGCACAATATCTATTGAACAGCTGTACAGTGCTTCTTGGCTTTTCATTATGAGTTGGTCTCACTGATAAAAAGGCCTCTCAATTAAAAATGACAGAATCTCCCCATACTACTATAAAATGCTTCAAATCGTACCTTTATTACTCCACACAAGTAAACATGTGTCAGGTCCAGGCTTATTTACGGTTACCACACCCCCAAAGATGGAACAATTTTCTACGCTCGCTACATTTGGTAGATTCACTCCAAAATCGAAACCAAACAATGGCTAGTGGCGCGCTATTTGAGAGGCAACAAAATAATCACGCTTCAGGTATTTTGGGTTTTGTGGGTTTACGAGCATTAATTTTTTATGACATCTGTTTAGCAGTAAATCAATACCTTGTTTGGCCGACTTCAACCTCCCTCCATGAACCAGAGAAACAAATTAAAAATGCGTGCGCTCAGAGCAAATGAACACATTTGTTGGATGCCGCTTTCAAGATCAACGTTTACAAGAGCCGCTAAGTGGAACAAGATTGGAATGATAAAAGCTTTTTTGTGTATGTATAGCCTAGGTAACTTCAAAAATCAACAGGTGCTTTTGGTATACTCACCTAACAACTCGATATCGCATTCCATGAGTAGGCTAAATGGTGTGTTATTGACTAGAGCAAAAAATGTCTTCCACTATGGAAGCCCGTTTTACAGATAAATTTCGCCGAATGACCAAGAGTAAAGTCCCAAAATTGTTCAGTTTATTTTGCTAATTATGCCAATATATCTTGCTTAAAGACCGTGACGAATGTATCGACAATTTTTATGTCGATTTTTCACATCTACCGGCAGGTTGTTTTACAGCAAACGGCTGCTGTTTGGCTAGGCGTTGAATTTTGCACTACTTTGAATAAGTAAGCCCTATTGGCTATTCAAGGTTGAAATCTACAGGAAATTTTCTCATCACATAATAATGCTGAATCCGACGATGTATTGTTATCGCTCAATTTGGTTTGACGACAGACGTTGAATAGAGGGGTTTAAGATAAGCGTCTCTCCTAATAAAGTGAAAGTTTCTTGAGGTAATTAGATGTCTTACTAGAATTTCAGGCGTGTCACTTCTGAAATTAAAATCGTTAAAAGGGATGCGGTATAGCTCTCGGAAGTTGCATCAGACAAAACTGAGCAGGATTCAGTCTGCTAAAAGCCTTCTTCAGAGGTAGCACAAATAGCTTGGTCAGTAGAAATACAAAATTCACAGGTTAGTTTGGCTAATAGAGCTTAGAATCTTCTGAAACATACCAGACTTTTAACTGTAACAATGTTAACTATATGTGCTTTTGTTTCTGAAAGGCCGGTTTGGATAACCTTTGCCAGTCAGAGATCAACTGGCTATTCCAATCTTCGGTGGGCCTATCCATCTGAGGTTTATACCTACAACTCTAGGCCAAAGTGTCATCTGACTCGTCCCATCTGCTTTCATCTAACATGCCACAAAACAGTGGAACATATTGGGGTTCGTTCATCGAAAACTGATTGCATTTTATTCATCAACCTGAAGTCCCATGGCGTGGAGATTAGTATATTGCTGTGGAAATCGAAAATTGGTCAGGATATATATTCTGATTAGTGGCGAGTGGGCAATTTGCCGAACCGACCAATGATTTTCTCAGCATCACGATTTAATGGTCTAATATGGGTTCAGGTTGCAGCAGTATTATTCTGGATAAGATTGAGCACTTAAGAAAAGAGAGCTGTTCAGCCAAGTTCACCGTAAAAACGATTCCCGATGATCGTTATTCACCGATTAGGCCTTCCGGAGAGAACTAATCCGCAAGAGAATTCCCGGTGTTCCTTTGTCGAGAAGCGGCTGATTTGGAGCATAATTAACTGCTAGTTAATTTGAAATTTAAAGAAACACAAAGTAAAGCTTTTCGTCGAAGTGCTCCTTATAGTTTTACAAATATTTGATGGTTCCTGCTTGGTGTGATTATCCTTTGGGAGAATAGGGAATGCAACAAAACAATCATTCAGCTATGAGGCTATTTTGTTCCATTTTGTGTCACAGTCAAAAGGTCGCAGACTGGTGTGAGAATTCAAGAGGCTGAGACTTGTTCCGAACCGTTCTGTTTTCTGTCATGAGACCGCACTTAACTAGGTGATGCTAGTGATATGGATGACGATACCAACGATGACAACGATGATGAGAGGGGAGAAAGGTAATAATGGGCACATATGACTGTATCAAAGAGTTGAGCTGATATCAAACCTTTTTATAAACCGCAGTTTACATGGGGCTTATATGTCTCATGCACTTGAGTTGTAGCAGTGCAGATGATAAACAAGAGGGGATTACAACCTAATAAATATCAAGTTTAATTTTTCTCAATGTGTACCCGAAAACCACAGGTACACCTACTCAAAGTTTTTGTTGGCGCACTTAGAGAGTGGGACCTTTTCGTTCAACCTGGAGTAAAACTCACTTCGAATAGTTTGTTTTACACCAATCGGTGGGGCAGAGTTATAAATTATGCGTGAGGTTTTTCGTTTGGCTACCCGTGTAAACATTTGACACAGCAACACTTTCCAACGTTATAAAAGGCCACTCAGTTTCCATTTCCAAAACAATTCAGTGAGATCGCACACGCTCATGTCCACACACATTCACACCGATTGGGAACTCACCCAAAACCATTTTGGCGGGTGTTTCCGGGGGCAACCAGAAAAGTACCAGTGTTACCGAGGAGAGCAGGAAACAGGGTAAGATCAGCACGTAGTTGTAGTAGGCTGGTTGTCGTTCGATTATGATGTTGAAAATCATATCCGTCCACCGTTCAGGACAGCAGACGTAGGCACGTTCACCGACATTTACTGAATGATTGATCAGGTCCCATTCTGGGCTGGGAGTGTAGTCCTCCATTAAACGCCCCTTTTCGTACAACGAAATATTGACACGAGAGCTGCAGTCCAAAGGGTGATTGAGAAGGACATTTTGTAATAGGGATACAATTTTGGTTGTTTAATAAAACCATAACCAATGATAAGCTTGAAACGGGACAAAACCTACACAAAATTCTTTTGCGCTCAAAATGAGTTGTCCTAAAACAGGTTTGCAATATTCGGACAAATATATAAACTCCTGAAAGAAAGAGCGAGTCCCCTAATGAAGATCAAAGTCTCAATCCATGAGAGACCAGCATGCAAAATACTGGAAGATAGTTTTACTACTCAAAAAGCTAACGTTTTATCTGGTAAGAGGCCGGAATTTCGCTCTAGTTCTGTCAGGGCACTGCGGCAATTCTTATGCGAACTGGATGTAAGTCTGTGACTTTTCGCATCGTTTTATTTCCTTCATCAGCGTGTTTACAACAGCAGAAGTTGGCGGGACACTGAGTGCCTTGCTCACATTATATGATTCAATTTCACAATGTGGAAGAACGAAGTTTTTTCCACTCGAGAAAGGTTTACTCCTTAACAGTCATGCATTTTCCATCTTGCTTAATTATTCTTTTCAATTACTCCATTCAAAACCTGTCGGCATATACAAGAGCGATCAGATTTACGGTGATCAATTGCCGATATAAAATTCGTTCTTTCTAAAATTATATAATCTAACCAGGTAACGAACTCTGGTTACTGGCAGGCAGCCGTAAATTCGTGGCAAGCCAGTTGGATCACAACAGTCCGGTGGTTGCGTCAGAAGATCATTAAACAGGTCGTTATTTGCAGTGTTTATTGCTACCCTAAAGAGAATTCTATACAGCAGCACTGTAGAAGTGAACAAATTTGGAAGAACAGCCTACATTTACTCCATACTCTTCAGTGATAAAAGCTGACGACTTTGCCGTGCTGGTCGTGAAACTTTGGGGCAGACGAAATGGCTATTCACTGAAGCTTACATATCTACCAGTTTTATGGGGAGGCTTAATTCAAGCAAACCATCAAAGGTATTGCTTTATTTTAGTTGTCCCGTTTCCCCGTGGTGCTTCACCTACGTAGGATTGTACATCCTTATGTCCGGTAATTTTGTGAGAACGGTGTTCGATTTCAGGTATATTAAATTCTTATATAGGCTTATCATTATTAGTTGTGCATCAGCATGGGCTTTCGTACCTGATTATCATCACTGGTTCGACGAAGATCGATCATTCATCACTCTACGCCTTTGCCAGCATGCACTATTATTTTTCTATAAGTTTTTTCCCTTAGATGGAGTTTCGTCCAACAAAATGACGTAAGACTTGATCGTCTTTTTCTGTTGTTCCAGAATGTAAACAACAATGTTGATGAAGATGAGTGATCCCAATTGGGATAAAAAAACTATCTGCATAATGCACCAAAAGTCCCAGAAATTTCAGTACGAATGCTTCACGTTGTGAACGCAATTTAAAATGAGACTAAAGTAATGGAAATTTGGAGTTCGCTGTTTTTTTTGTTTTTTTTTAAGACGTAAAATCCAATTTTGTGTGCAGCATAGTTGTTCGATTTAATAAGTCGGCTAACGTGTAAAACTTCGCCACTTGCCTAACTCTCCTCCAGCTTCGCTGACTACTCGTGGTATATTAATTTGGTTCATTGTGGGCCGGCTTCCCTTCCCGGCTCGGTCACTCACATTGAACCATGCCGATGGTGAACTGCGAACGATGGGTGATGTCAGATAGGGATTGAGATGGGCACCACCTGCCAGCGACTGTTAGGTGTCATTCAGCTTGGCCTATAAAATGACGGTCGTGGGAAATCACTTCTAACACCATTGTCGGCATAACGCTCCCGAATATTCAGGGCATTAGGGCTAGTGTTTGCTTACGCAGATGAAAAAAAATTCAACAGTTGATCCCATCGGTGTTCACTTTGGACAGACTAATAATCCGAACTCAAAAGGCATCCACATGTCGTTTCAGTTAATCAAGATCTGAAATTCGCTCCTGGCACCTTGGTTGACTTAAATGACCAAACTGCTTAGTGTACTGGGGCGTTTTGATGACGATGGGCAACGGAAGTCACTTCTAGGAACATCGCAGTCTCAGCTATCTGCTAACTCCAGGAAGCTGGGGCAGATCTGGTGAGCCCATTTTATTTGCCGATGGTTTACTCTGTGTGCCAGTGGGCAAGCATCATTAGTATCTCGGGACAATCTTGCAAATCTAGCATAAACACTTAGTTACCTTGTTGTAGTTTTATATCACAGGGTCCGAAAACTATTCCGGCGATCAAGCCTCGGTAGTTTACTTTAGAAGAACAAGGTATGCAAGGTAAAATATGCTTCTTCGAAGCTGGAAGGATTACTTATACGAAATATCTTGCTGAAATGTCATTAACTTAGTCTGTGTGAATCATTCAGGCAAAGTTTCGTTCAACAAACTCACCGGAATTACTTCGGAACGATAAATTAATAAAGTATTGTACGTTGCGGACTGGGCCTCGTAAAAGCGGTAATGACTTGGAACTGATTTAAAATTTGCCTAATGTTTTAGCAGCAAAAAAGTAGTAGAGCCTTCTCCCTGATATGCGGAGAGATCTACTACTCTTCATTTTAAACTATGTAGTTGTTTCACTGCTCTTTCTTTAGCTTTTCTTTTGACTATTCCAATAATTAATAGACGAGATAGGCCTCCTCATAAAGTTAAAAAGATTATTCAACTAATGGGATGACTGAAATTTTTCTGTTTGTGTTAACTACACTATTTCCGTGTTCGCTTCGTGCATTCATTCTGTCATTCCTTGCTTTTTATGGACACAGCCTAGTTTTTATCACATTCCTATAGAAATCCTTTCAAAGTTTGTTTATGACGCCACAATGAAGTAAATTTGAGACAATTTTGCATCGACGTCATGCAGATAGCTGTGAAATCACTGGCAGCACGATTGTCTACCTTGTCTCGTGTTCCATAAGTTTTCATTCTGTTGAATAGGGTTAGAGTAAATCCAAGATGGAAACACAAAACTATGTTTGTCAAGTGTCTGCCCGAGCTGTGTTTACCGATACCTAATGAATTTACCCAGTGACTGTAGGGGTTGTTTCTTTTCGACAAATCCAAATCATCGAGGCGCTCGTCGTCTGCACATCTGTGAGGTTAGCCAATTAGTCAATAAACCCTCTGGTGATCGGACTAAAATTAACTTTTCCGGTTAAATTTATGCCGCACAAATCAAAATATACCAAATCTCTAGGTTTTTCAGTTTGTCGACTTGTGGGTAATGCTAATTTAGCATTCAACAACCTACTCTTTTAGAGGAATGGTGAAGATGGTAACGTCCTGGGGTAAGTTCGCCGATTTTTGCAAAATCACCCCCTAACTGGCATATTTACATTTGGCGTAGCCTTTCAGTAGAGTCCCTTTAGAGAATGCACGATTGGTTTGGTAAGGTCATTCGAGATCTAGATTGGAATGGATAGGGCTCACCAAAGACCATTCACTGTACCGATCAGGCACATGATCCTATTCCAGCAATGGTGAAGTTATATAGCTCATGCGCTTGGCTTTGTTTTGTGCGAAAGCAAAGTAGTGGCTGCTTTTCAGAATTACAATCAAGCCAGTTCTTGAAGTAGTATAGTACCTCAAAACATTATTTTCATTCTATGGCTCTATTCTTATCTTCCCTTTCTGGAGGAGTCAGACAAAAAGATTGACAAACGATGGCCTGTTCTAATCGGATCGCAAACACCCGACAGGAAGATGAAATGAAGTTGGACATTTATATATATTGGTGTTTTTGAAGGGCGCCGACAATACCCATGAAGACCTTGGTAAACCACCGAATACAGTGTCGATGTAGCAAACAACTTACTCAACTACTGCGAACTACCACACACGATTTTTGAAATAGCGTCAGCTCCTACTGCACCGTAAACTTGTATTCAGTACCACAATTTCATAAATACTTTTTCATCAAGTTCCATGAACAGCCAAAATTTGGCGATGCAGTCTCTCTCTAGAGAGAACACACACAGAAAACCTAACCCGTCAGTGATGTCACCTTTGAGTGATGCATTCCTTTACCGCCTCTGAGGAAGCCAACCCAACAGGCCCACCAAAGTTAACTTATTCTTGAAAGGAACTTACGCTTGAAATACTCTTCAAAGGTCCAATTAGTCGCTGTCTCCACCAAAACAAACTAGGTCTTCTCATCATACAAGCAAGTGTCTCCTGAACCAGCGAGTAGTGACCATCTTTCAAACTTTAGTTTCTGCACTATGCTGTGCACGCAGTCCCAACTGCAAGTAGGGCGTGTAGCTGAGGAACCTTGGTAGCCTCTATTAAGTAGGTTGTCTTCAACGGAAATCCCGTTTCCAAACGAACAGAATTCACATCGTGCGCGCAACTCGACCACCTGATAGCTTGATTGATCGACCCACATATCCTCTGAGAACAATGTAGACCCCAAAGAGTGACTGGTCGCAGCACAGAGGACTACATGGCGTTTTCGAAGAAAAATATCACGTGAGGATCGTCAGCCACTCCATAGGCGCTCCATATATTTTACGATGGCCTTTGACTCCGACGGCAGAGAGATATGTGCACAAACCTTTCCAAATCTGTGCTGACCATCTACAGCCTATAAGACGGATTAAGAGTGAAGATGCGAACAAATGTGTCGACTTCGGGCGATTTTGCAGTTCTCATTGCCTCCACTTAATTCGACTTGTATCTAGAGGCCATCGGGGAATGCGACATTCATGAGCTGCTATTCTGGCGTGCAGTGTGGATATCAGCGAGTGAACAAAATTAAGCACTTTGATGAGAGTACCCTAGCCTTGCAGACAAAGGCCCGCACCCTCGTGTTTTCGCACTGTGAACTGCAGAGCATAGCTAAAGGGCTTGCTCATGGCACTAACAGCAACGCAAAGAAGGCTTTCCCTCTGTAAAAGCATGCACTGTGTGATCTCCACGACACTCATGTGAGCATCAATATAGGAATGGAGTTTGTGGACTACTGCACGGACTACTGTAACCTCGAAAGTACATTACCAACTCACTTGACCATCAACATTGGTCTGATATTCGATGTTGTCAAGGCCAGTAGGGATTTCAGAAAGCTCCAGAAACTGGTTTCGAGGGTCTGCAGCCTTCAAATCAAGACCTAACTGCTTGCCTACAAGTAATGTTTCTATCTGTCCAGTTATAAGACACTTACCGGCGCAACCGAAGGCATTTCCTGAAGTGGCTACCCGTTGACCCTTAGAATGCGTGAGTGCTGGACAAAGGAGTCCACTGAAAAACACACCATGATGTAATTGAGGCTATGTTTACATTAAGCTGTTCAAGGTGGCTTGGACATTCTCGTCAAATGGACGTAGACAGGATTGCAAAGCAGCTCCTATATGGTCAGCTGAACACGAAGAATTGGAACCCTGACAGAGAAAATCTTCCATATCTAAATACAGCGGTTGAACTTCCAAAAGTTTCATAAGTGGATTCCTGGAACTCGGAAACTCGGTTCGATGACAAGCAATATGAACCAGAGTCTCTCAGTTAAGTGTTGTCAGCTTGCAGCTAGAGTGGTGAAGCACCCATGGCACAAGGGTTTTTTTGTGCTGTTAGACCTAAGCCGAACAAGCTGGGTCCTCAGCCACAGCGGCCACATTTGTGCGGATCAAGTTGGATTGGTTGGCCTATGTACACATATACTGACTTGTCTGTGCGTATAGTAAGTGAAAAAAATCTTCCTCAGCTTCCGGGGATTTAAGACTTATAAACAAACAACAGCGCTATAAGTGACCTTTCGCGCTCATCTCAGTATGGGCGAAAACTAAGTGAAATTCCTTAGCACACTGAGCACTAAGCCAGATATGGTGCTAGAAATGACTTACAGTAATCACCTCGAGGACGCAATCCGTTCAAATGATAGCCAACTACGGAACGACATTTGGATACATTCTGAGCTTTGATCATCGGTAATGCAGCTGCTAGTCTATCCGAAGTAGGCGACGTTGAGTTTAAATGATTCCACCTGTATCACCAGTTACTCGCCTTAATTCTATGGTTATTCGGGAGCGTGATGCGGGCGACGGTGATGGAAGTGAAATCTTGTGACCAAAGTAGTTGAACGAGCTGTATAACCATAGTTAGTAACCATGTGTAACTCCCGAGCTGTGACAGCCACCATGTGACTATTTCTGAACATTGTAGAGCTCATCGTGTTGGGTACATCCACGTGGATTATCACCCCCCCCTAGCTAGCTGATGGATTTAGATGTACCTGCTTTCCTTCACCATGCGGTCGAATTCTTCCGGGTTTAGATTTAATAAATGAAATACTGATACATGTACACACTTATGGACAAATTATATACGGCACAAACTATTATGCTTGGATTTCCAATCGATGTGACGGGACAAGAATAAAAACGTTGCTAGCCCAATTTATGTATGTAAATATGCAGTCTGCATTTCTGTCGTATACTTGTACTAATTACCGACCTCAAAGTAGACGCCACCATCAGAAAACGGTCGCACTGTATCGGGAATAAAACGTACGTGCAGAGTAATGTAGAAAATAAATCTTAAATCATCCTATTTTTTCCTGGTGAAAGTAATCTTCGGTGTTCTTATTATGGTTTAACGAACTTTCAACCGGCAGTGTTTACTTGACGATTATTCTTCCACGGAAAAATTACGGTTATCGTGCGTATTTACAGAACGTTAAATTGCAGTACTTCGACTGCCGAGACACCTCACAATCGGCCATAGTCTTAATGTTTACTTAGGTGTTTCCCAGCCCCCAAAGTGTCTCCAGCCTTTTTTCTGCAGCCATATGATTAGCACCCTTTTGGTTATTTTTCTCAAATTGTTGACACAGCTTGCTGGTTGTGGGTGTTTTAATGCCAGAGAGAAGCAACCAGTTTGTTGTAAGGGAAGAGTAATGTCACTATGTGAAATTCACTGAAACATTGGGTCATTCAAGACATTTACGCTTCAAAGCATCAAATGCAAGTGCAATTTTATACGAAACTTGCCTCTTTCGGTATGTAATAGCCAGACGCACTGCTCTACGATAGAAAAATACCTCATCAAAGTAAAGTTCCCCTGCCTGAGCAAATCAAGCATCCGGATCTTGTGCAGTGGTATCTATTCGAGCGATTATTGAAATCCATTCACCCAAACATTATCAGACAAATGAAGTGAACTTGCCGGCTAAAATAAGTTGTGGACACAATCCAACAAAATGTAGTCAGGTAGTTTGACCATATTGCTCTTTAGTGCGAATGCACCATTCACTTGGACATCAACTGACATCTGAGGATTTCAACTTCTGATACTAGTGAATCATCCGAACCACACCCCTGACATTATCACATTATCAGCAATATGTGATGTTATTCTTGAAATAAACAGCCCAAGTGTTTACTCCAATCTTGTGGTATTTATGAGTACATCATTAGTCCCGCACTGCGTTCATCTTGGCCCGTCGGCTCAATCTGTCTGGGTTATAAACCCTTTTTGTCGTATTTGAGCACTATAGTTAGAGTGACATAGTCGACGTTATTTCCGAAAATTTCAGCTTGGAAGCGTCCATTTATTCGGAAAATTGCTAAGTTTAACTTCTAAATTATCAGTGCTCACGGTGTTTCTCTGAAATATGTTTTCACCGGGCTCTGTCAACTGCTGTCTAAGAAGGCATATGCGCCATATTTTAAATGCTTCCGTTTTAGTTCCGTAAATTTAAACCCATTTTTCCTGGTTCTGAACTATTCTGACTGCAAATTCATGCGCAATACCAATGACATACTTGTCATGGGCCCAGGTGGAGAACTGCAGTGAGCAGTTTTGTCTGTCGTAAGGGAAATACTTGATCTTCACTTTGCACGTGCTTTTGTAAATTGCCATAGGATGCCATTCCACGATACCATCATGCGTCACGGTTGCCGCACATTCTCGGAGCTCCTCCAGTCGCTCGTCTGCACTGTACCGTGACGGGGAAAATGAATAAATAGTCAAATGCTTGAAACAAGCCGTCGACTTAATTTGCAAGTCATAGCTGGAAATACGCTGATATGTTTAGCATTGGTATTGACACATAGCTAACAAAACCATAAGGTGAAAGGCTGTTTGCCACTCCCAGTAGAGTGGAACAGATTTGAGCAAAAAGATGTATGAGAGAGATAGAAACCAGGTTATTGTTCTGATTATTCCCCATATCCCCCCACATTATTTGATCTATTTGATTCACTCTCAATTAAACAACTGCATAGTGTTTCTTGAGGAGATTCATTTGCAGATACTGTCACAATCCATTAAGTAGTATTGTAAAAAAATAAGCCATGTGTGACCGACCAATCAGGGGCAACCATGGAAAAATGAATGAAATCCAATTTACTGCTTAGAGATTTAGGAACAGAGCTAAAGAAACTGAAAATTCTATTCCACCCAAACAAATAAAAACAACTTGATCCACGCTGCAACAGCACGCTTCTGAGCTTTTGACGTAATGGTCAAATCGCACAACCAATAGATTCTATTGCTTGTTTATTTGAATGATTGTTTGAACTGTTTTCTAAATGCGTATGTGAATTGGTGTTAATCCAATTTATTACCCCGACGGTTGTTGGACCAGCAACTAAAAGTCTTTCCTTTCTAAATACAGGCAAGAGAATCATTGTATCATATAGAGGGCCAATGACTGATCTTCGTATAGTCGTTTATTGCTACTGAAAAACTAATCTTTTTATATACTGTTTCCAACAGTTGACGCCAGGTAATTCGACCAAAGTGAATGCAAAAAAAATTGTTTTACGTGACCACAATAATACGTTGTCTAGCAACTCAGAATTGTGCAATTGACTTGTTTTTCAATCCAAGGCAACGACTGAAGAGTACCGAACATGTTGCATGGATTCGTGGTGAATTTGACGACATTGCCATCCCTTAACTAACTGAGATTTCATACCAACAACAGTAACCACGGCTTCCCATAAAAGATCGGTTCCGAGACTTGGTAGCATGCTTTAGAATCTTTTCCCTTATACTTCTGAGTGCATCAGAGAGATTTTTAAGGCAAGCGAGTAACTAATGAACGCCGAAACATTTGAAGAATTGCTAGAAAGGACCCATTTTATGTATATATCGCTGACTTGAAAAGAGCTTCATTTCACTAAATTTCCAGAAAGTTTGTTCAGTTCAGTCTTAGCTTTTTCATGGCGAACGTGCAATTACACACAATAAAATATAACAAAAACTTTGTAGAGAATGGATGAAAATTCCGTAACGTTCTCTGACCACGCATTACCATTTTGAAAACTAAGTAGACTCTCATGCTCCTCTGTGCGCACACCCGTCAGACAAAGAACGCATCTACAGCAAACTTTGACCGAAATAACTGAAACTTATGGCCAGTTCAAAGGATTCCAGCTAAAACGTCTTTGGTTCTTAGCAATTCGGTCCCTTGTTTGCTATCAAACTGCTGACAAAAAAGCGTTTTCTGAAAAAACCGACGATTCTCTTCTAATATTTACCCAGTCTCATTTGACACTAAACGAATTTTCCGGCATGAACGACAAACTTCGCTACGCGTTGAAAATCGCAGCGGAAACAGATTTACGTCATAACATATTACCTGAATAAACCAGCTACCGAAAGGGCGTTTCGGGTATAATTCAAAAATGTCAAAACGTTGCGTTGAGCTAAATCATATCCGGTATTGAGTTCAGCTGAATCGCATGGTCTCAAACTCTGAAACTACCAAACCTATCAGACAAACGGGAAAGAAACACTCGGGGTAAAACTTACTAGTTGTAAAGCAAAATGTCGGGCGTCCAGAGTTTGCTCGTTGGAATGTTTATTTGCGTGATGTTTTCATATTCCTCCGGGTTCCAAACCAGATGGTAATCGGGCCAACGCTATTTTAAATGTGAACGGCAAATGCTTAATAAAGGTCAGGGCTTGCTTGAACAAAACGTAGTAAGTTTCAACGATATTATAGATAAACGCGTCTTGACTCAGAACCGCATGCGTGATGTTTTCATATTCCTCCGGGTTCCAAACCAGATGGTAATCGGGCCAACGCTATTTTAAATGTGAACGGCAAATGCTTAATAAAGGTCAGGGCTTGCTTGAACAAAACGTAGTAAGTTTCAACGATATTATAGATAAACGCGTCTTGACTCAGAACCGCAAGGGAGGCAAAAAAAGTTGTCCAGTGGACGGACAACTCGTTTTGGTAGCTTGGGTCTACTCATTGCAATCCGTGGGACAGCGCAACTCCAGGTAAATAAAGCCAGCGAATAGCATCCGTCACTCTGACCTAAGGAAGTTCATCCAAACGCCTGGATCCCTGAGTTATACTGACGACGCTGTCATCAGTAATCAAATGCTCACACTCTGGACAGATCAGCTAGCTTGCAAACGATAATTTTTCGTAAAAGAAATTTTGGGAAATTGCAGCACGATTCGGACAAAAAGACCCAGCGTGTGCAACAAAGAACCATATGACAGCTTCTCAAATAAATGCCCGTAAGAAAACACTCCGGTGCAGAGACTTCTCTCTGTCAGTCTCTGGAGGTCCAATTAAGGAGTAGGATCCTCCGCAGAAGAGACTATTTCTGAAGAAAGATTGCTGTTTGTTATATACCTGAGGGTAGTTTTAACCCCAAGAGTAAATCTGAATAGGCGAATCAATAATATTTCAGCTACCCGAATTATCAATCCATGGTCCTCTGATCGGAGTATGCCTAAGAAATTTGAAGACTCATCTAAGTGCAATAATATGTTTAACCAGCCGTTGAACCACCAAAAAGATAGTCTGGCATGTTCGCAAAACAATGTTTACACTGGTAAAGGAAATGTATTTTCTTCACAGACTAGGAGTATTCACAAAATCGTTCGTATAGGAGACAGCTGAGCATACCCATTGGAAGACGTGCAACTCTGGTCGTTGGCTTGTTCGCTGATTTTGCACAACCACTAACCCACCGCTACACACAACTACGCACTGATGATGTCACCTCGATTGGTGATGAAACGTTTGCAACCAAATTGCCCAGCTCAGCGAACAAGCCAACGACCATCTACGCTACCTAGCTACCGACATTCTCCGCTATAGAAAACGTGCAACTCTAACCGACATTTGCACGAAGTCAGAAAATTAAAGGCTATTTCCAGGATGCGTCTGAAGCTTTCTGTCCAAACTTAAAAACAGATCACCCAAAACTGAACCATTAGAGAGAAAATGATTTAAGGACATTACGTTGTTATTTTATTCTTTGGAGATGCAACTTGTCACGTTTTTGCGAAGTACGTGGATATGTCCTGCCGGCTAATTGTATGAAAACTGGCAGTTCCCCTGCGTAGATTTTATTGATGCGTTCTTTTGAGTTTCTCCTGTTTTTTGTAGGACTTATTGTAGTCTGAGCATTTGTAGAAACCTCCCGCCATTCCACGTTTACTGCAGTGTGTTTACCGGCTTTTGAAGCATGGAGCAGGCTTCAATAAGCATTCGACCAATCACAATGTTGTCCAATGGGAATGGTGAAAAAATCACACGGGCTAACTTGCGGTAACTGATACATGTCGTTAGTGTTATTGCACATGACAAAACCTTTTCAATAAATTCCCGTTCGGTTCATAAAAACCACTTGAGAGCGGTCTTAGTGTTGCTACTGGTAATAATAAGAATCCACTTAAATTGAAGTGGAAGTAAGATAAAGCGGATGTATGGTGCAAAGTAGGTAAGAAAAGTAAATGAGGATAGAATCATCTGCAAAAGCGAGCTCTTTTATTAATATGGACGAAGGGGATGATCTTGGTACGGCTTGCTGGAAGTATTCGGAGCCAATGATGGCAGTGCGCACAACATTGGAATCTTGTCTTGGAGGTGTTGACTTTACTCCCACAGAACCTCTTGGTGTAGGAAACGCTTGAAAAAAAACAAATGCAAGTGCGGTCCACCTCGACAACGCGATGTAGCATGCACACGATAAAATTCCACGCCCGGCTATGGAGCTAGTTAGATTTACGTAGCAATTGCTCATTTAAATGTCAATCCAAATGTACCCGGTAAAACTGGGTTTGTAGGACGAATGACAACAGCCGGGAAACGACAAAGACGAAACTGTCGAGGAATAAAGAATACTAGGGCGATTTCACCGATTCAGTACTACTATTTCATCACTAGGTTTATGGTGTAACGGAGTCACAGAACCGTTAAATTCACAGGTGTTCTCGTAAATTGCATCAGACTTGATTGAGTAGGCCTGGAAATCTTTTCAACGAATGAAGGATTCTTGATAGTTTTTGTTGCTCGAACTCTAATTCACATGTGCTTTCGTACACATTGACCATTTCGGTAACAATAACAATTGCTGGTGCTTAGCTGCCGCGCCATCCGAAGAAAGCAGGTAGTCTGAGATGGCGCCAAGTTGCCAAAGGCTAAACAGGTACAGTCGAGACGCCAGGGCTTGAGTTGAGCCATGGATACTTCGTTCACTAAGCGCACGCCTTGACTATCGTTTGATCCCAAGTATACTATGCTTTAAAAATACCCATCCTCGTTCGACTTCGTTCGACATTATTCACTTCACTAGCTCACTAGTTATGTAAGATAAACAAATGTTCTGAGGTGAATTTGACGTGTTGGCGGATCGTGTATGTACTCTAAAGAAGTAAGCATGTTAAATAGCGCTCTACTCGCACTATCAGCCCAACATAACATAACTAGATGACTTTCACCAGTATGTTGATCGGCAGTACACACGCAGTTTTGTGACAGAATTCAGGCAAATGACAAACCAAATAGTTCTCACGCAAAAGTGAGACTGTTGCACCTGTTTTTTTCTGTAAGACTTTGTTTCTATCTGTACGGTCACACCAATCAAATAGATGCAAACTCTGTTGGCACCAGAAGTGACTATTTTATGTTAACCGGATGTGATGACTCTTGTCACTCTAGTTAAGAACAGTCCCACACTACTGGCTTCTTTGTCCCTACCTTGCTGTCGTACTATTTGAATGAAAATTTTTCCGAGATAAGCAGACCGTTTTTTTCAATCGTTTATCTGAAGGTTGATGTACACCATGCTCTCGTGTAAGGCGTTCGCGGCCCGTTTGAACATCGTGCTGAAAAGTAGTACCAGTAATACTGTGAAGCGTGAATTTCGGAAATAATTTTCTTTGGTGAGATTGTGTCTTTCAGTCAAGGTTCTAGTAAATGCAAGCAGCTAGATGTTGGTACTAAGTTTTGTCCCTTATATAGATTTATTACACTTGATTGTTGCGGACGAGTGCACACAGTGAAACTCAACCTTATGTCCATGTCAACTATACTAATTTGTAGGGTACGAGAATGGAATAACCCCTTATCGGACATTTTCTTGTTGATCCCGTTCAATCGAATTCTATCTGACGGGACAACAACCACCCCAGCTGCCACAGCTACTAAGTTAATGTATGCAACACTTTTATTCGCTTGAATATCTGTTTCAAATAAAAGACCCGGCCTTAAGAATTCGTGACGACGTGTTCTCATATACTTATTACTTTTCTTCCGGCCGTTACCAGCGAAGCCTGCGTGGTGTTTCCGCTTTTATTCAATCTTAGCTGTGCGGCAGTCGACTCCAATTCATGTAGTAGCAGACACCTCATTCTTACAGATTCGAATAATATATTTAAAACCTCTGATGGGGTGGTTGCCTGTGCACACAGTTGTCAGGATATGTGAACTGCTCAAACGTTTCCGATGATTTTTTTACCTTTTTATATTTGGATCGTACGCAAGCAAGCAGGATTTTGGAGACTGATTCCACACATATCTGGTCACCGCGTCATTGTAGCTTTACGTAATTGCCATCAAATGACATTCCTAGAAACCCTGCTCTTGTTTGGTTAGAATGTAAACTTACGCAATGCAAGTGGGTCATATTGATTGCAGAATAGTTTGCTGTTGAAATTTGCCTATCTAAATGTCACCTGTACACTGGCTGACTGCTATCCGCCCGACACCGAAGATGAAAAAATAATGTTCGTGAGCATCGGATAGTTTGCCGACTACTTAAGGCACATCAAGAATACTAATGGATGTGTTACTCTTTTGCAATTTCTCGGTAGACCCAAATCATTTAAAAACATCCTGGTCTGCAACCTTATAGATGATGATATAATCTCAACATTATCGCTGTTATGCCGAAATCTGAGTACAGAAATGGCGAAACCGATAAAAAAGAGTACACTTACGACCATTTTTGAACAAGATGATTGGTTTAACTGTACTTACATAACGAGACTTCACACTGACAGTTAATATTTGTTCATTCTCATCAAGCTGTAAAATCTGTACAAGTCCCAGACCAAATTCCACGGTGAGTTGTTGCGCTGTATAGTTCCCAACTTTAACAACCTTTGAGACGCCATCGGAGACGGGGCGCGCTCGCTTTTCATAGTCGCGCAGCAAGTCTTTGATCAGTGTCTTCTCAGACCACGTTTCCGTTGCATGTCCAGAACACTTTGACAGAAGAATTGAGCAGCAGGCAAATGCTGTATGAGGCACAAAACAGCAAAATGGATTATTATGTAGCAATAATATTGAACAAAAAAGAATAAGTTGAATCTATCTTCAGTGAATTTGAGTTGAAGTGGTAGAGTTGAGACATAAAGGTGATAACATACAGCCTCCTGGTACGTCCAGGAGAAGTCGATCAACACTTGCTAGCGTGTTTTGGAAATACAACTTTGGTGGCGCAGATTCTGTCAACAGTGTCTGCGTGATTCGTAGGAGTAGTGATCTAATGTCACGTGAATTCTGTAAAGAGCGTTTGATGCTATCTCATTTTATCTTCTAAAATACAAGCTGTTTTATCTACGGGCAGAAATGAAATTCGAAATTCCAGAGATAATTTAAGCACCGTGCTTGGGTGGACTCGGCCAGTTATCAAGCTGAAGATAATCACAATGTTGATGATAGAATCTTCCGGAACTTTCGATTGATGAATTTGAACGATAATTTCTGACTGTACTCAGTCCACTGCAAAGCAGATGTGACATGATAGACATGTCATTTCTCAGCAGTGCTCACCAACGGTCATTTGCACCCGTAGCGGTGCTTCCCGAGCGAATTTGAGCAGATCACGAGGAGGGCGTTATATACTTGAGCTTTTCAAAGAATAATAGTTGTTTTAACAGCTGGAGTGGAGAAAATTTGAATCCGATACCACGGACTTTGTCGCTGGAATGATTAGATGTGAAATGCTATTTGTTTTCATTGACTTCATCGATGAGCTTGTGAATCTCCAAATGGATGCGCCACGCGTTCACAGACCTCAGGCTAAGTGGATGGTCAACGTCATTTCATATTCAACAAAGTGAGTCTGAACTCAACAGCGCCTTACCTTTAGAAACTTGTACCAATCTGAGGTTACCCGAACATTGATGAAAATATCCTTCTCTAGCTAAATGTTTACCGAGTCAAAGATTTCGGTCGACATATGGTTAGACCTAGGGTAGTTTATGTCCAACAACACTTTGCAACTATGTGATGTACCATCGCTGCACAGAGCCCCCCTCTCTCATATTAAACTTAATTAACAATCGCTGGATGTCAATGAAGAAGCTCTAGTGCGAAGTTTGCCTAATGAAGGCGGCGGGAGTTGCTCTGCTCACTTCTTGCCTACAGATTGCTCAGCAATTCGAGAGCTTGAGTGGCAAATTACATAGGATATCTGCAAAATAAATGTTCAGATGAGCCCCCAAACTAGTTTGATATGTAACTAGTTAAACAAAAAGGAAGTGTCCTATTTGTCTTCGAGGTAAACTGAACAGCTTCCCGTGAAGGACACTCACTATCCCAAATTTCTTTTCGTGGAATAAACGCTTAATGTCCTAGTACTGACTGCAGGTTTACGGCAGTGAACCATCAATGTTGAACACTGATGTCATGCTGTCCATGATGACTAACTGCAGGACATATGCATATCGTGGAAAATCGCACAATAGTATAAACATCACTCATCCGTTTAAGGTTATTTTGAAAGCCACGGCGGTGTTCCGTCGAAACATTAGCTGAATTTAGCTACATTTATTTAGTGATTATTTAAAGTAACATGCTGTCAATGTTATACTATTCGGGTTTATATCACAGGCAGCTAACGATCAGTATTGGCCGCGATGAGGACCGACCGGCCTGCTGCCTTTTTATCTTCACAATCTAGCACAATGCTGTCTTCAGCTAAGCAGTCTAAAGTGGTAAAATGATGTACCAACAGCGAAAATTGCAACTGAGACAATGATTAATATAACAAATACTGACACTCCTATATTTGTCTAGAATTCTGCGTGGTCGAAATTTCGTTACCGAATACTAAGGATTACTGCTATCTCTATAGGTCACTGTAATATACTGGGAATAAGTTGAGTATTTTCTTAAGACCACGTTGAATTATGAGCGCGTTTGACAAATGATAATGAATGATTACGCCTTCCTTTTTCTATTTTATCTGAATCTAGGTGTGGCGCAACAAATTGCTCACTGAGAACGGATATTCCGCCCAGATCCGTGACCACTGCTCATCCGGACCACCATCATTGTGTACTTGGTCGCAAGTTAGACGGAGACAACTCCTTGAAGTACTGTATGGAATTGAGCCGCATCCCATCTAGCTTGATCCATGGGTTGGGACAGAAGAACCACATTGTCAGAACAAACATCATCTGGGACATGACCAAGCTACGTTTTTGTGTGATTGGTGTTCTCTTCGTTTGCTCGTAATTCATTAAAATAAGCAACGAATAGTTGGCGGAATCTGGGAGACATCCTGAAGGTCTCAGCAGATGTTTCCTCAATGAGGCTCATCAAGCATAGCTTCTTGGTGGATACCCAATAGGAATAAGACCACGCTTTATTCAACTAACACGGAAAAATTATACTGAACTATTTTCCATTGATCTGATGATAGACTTGTCTTTATATGCTCCTGTTCGTACATGGCATTGTTTGTTGGATCACCCTTGGATGCCACTGCATCGACTGACAAGAAAGAAGTCTGTTACCAATTTGGTCTGATATAGTTTTTTTGAAGCACCTTAGACCTGCCATATGTCCATGAACTGGTTTTCTCCCAAGTACGCAGGTTTTTACGATCACGCCATCGTGCTTAATCCCAACACTTTACATACTATCCTGGTGGAGAGTGATATTTGGTAAGCCAATGCTATATAAGTGTATGAATATAATTAGCGTAAGAACCAAGCCCAAGTAGTTTTTAACTTTTCCAACATGCAATCCTTTGCCAATCAACTTTACGACTTAGACAACTCACCATTGACAATTTGAATGAATACTTGTCGTGTATTGAAATAATAATTGATCTTCCCAGACACAGATATGATCAGTGATAGTTTATATATAGGTTAGATGAATTCCGGCGCAAACTGCAAATGCTCAGTTAAGATAGTAAACAGTAAATTCCCCGTTTATCACTATTTAATTTGGTGAAGTGGTCGCGTGCTTCTCAGTCTTGTGTTTGGGTTTTCCAACGCAGACGACGGATAAATACAAATTAAACTTGAGACTGCAGAGGAAAGTAGGAGAACGTGTGAAAAAATACATATACGTGAAGAAATCCCGTGCATAATGAGCCAAGAAGACAGCAAAACTGTGCTGTGATCGCTTGGGTAATCGTCAGTTTATAGTCTTCGCTGGAATGGAATCAAAAATGTTTGAAACACGTTGACGCTAGATTTTATCAAGTTCACGACACTTCGGTGGTTTCTGACCTGTTATTGCGTGCTGCCAACAGTAATACACAGGTTACCTTAGTGTACAAAACAGGAAGACGTAAATGATAGCAGTCATATGGTCGTTGGCTTGTTCGTTGAGCTGGGCAATCTGGATACAAACGTTTTATCATCAATCGATGGCTTGTTCGTTGAACTGGGCAATTTGATTACAAACGTTTTATCATCAATCGAGGTGAAATCATCGGTGC